TTACTGCATGTTGAGTAGTTAACCTCCGTCCATTTGACGACGACACTATTCGCCAAAAATCCCGTTACGTTATGCTAGGTGCCGACCTAAGCTGGCGCTTATGTAAAATGTTCAGGCCATAGGTCGCAGTAATGCAGAAGTGCAGTGTTGTTCGCAAAGACTGTTGGATTGCATTCTTGCTGTAAGTCAGATGGCCTGGACGACTGCTGAGCTGATGCAGCCCCCGTCATGTTGCTATCGTGGTATCGGCCGAGGTGCTTGGCTTCTGGGTTGATACATTTGGACTACCTGAAGAAACAAAAGAACTGTATGGAATGGATTGGTGTGTGAAGCGTGGTATGCACGCGATTCTGATGACAGATATTATCTGGCAGTTGCCGAGCCGTTTGTGATTGTTGAACAAGAGCCAGCAAGCTTACTGTCCTGGAAATTCAGAACGGATAGCATAGGGAGACAGACCAAGACATGCGCCACAGGCCGTTCGTAGGCTTCAATCCGCGGCTAGGGTGACGGTTGCAAAAGGATTGTTGGCGGTTGGGTTCCTGTTCGCAAGGTACTATGTCTCAGGGCAATGGGAACCTCGGAAGATGTCATGAATGGCTTGTAATTGCAGCCTGGTGAGTCAGCAGTCGAAAGAGTACGCGATGCAGTAGAGTCCTTCCTTGTTGATTGCAAGGTGCCTGCTCTTCTACGTGAAACCCGCTGGAAGTCCGTCCTGTTTGACCGTGATGATTTCGTCCACTTAGTTGTTGCAACCTTCTCTTAAGTGTCGCTGGCGTTCTCGTTGAAAAATTCCGATGGAGGCAGAGCAACAGATTCTTCAGAGTTCTCTCCACGGACTGCAGCTCATCCACTAACTGCAGTAATTTGGCATATTCTTCCGTCAGCCAGAAGACGCTTTTAATGGCTTTTCACAATATCATGAAGGCGCGGTAGTCTTCTAGGTGTGTCCGCCGGAAGTGAATTATCAACGCTCTCGCTGAAGTAAAAGATCTACTACAGACAGGGCAAGCAGTAGGTGTTGGTTCGTTGACCTGACGGTAGTCTAAAGGATGTCCTGTGTGATATTCGCATGTGGCGAGCCAGTTCATCCGCGACGGTATAGGACGCACGGCAGAGTACGCAAGTGTCTAGAGTGGAGGTTGTGATATCAGCAGTTGGAGTGGAAATAGAGGTGATGGTGTGTGAAGGGATGGAGTTCTGTACAAAATCCGTGTTAAGTGCCGTTGACTGATAAATGCATGTGACCACAGTGCTGGAGCGGCATACATATAAATAAACCGATGCCAATTCATATAATTGAAGAGCAACTAAGCATTAGCTAGTAAAAATCGCATACTGTGCTAAACGAAAGAAAGTTTCTCAAACATATTATGCAGCAGTGGCAGTGGTGTGCAGATAAATAGAAAAATAGAGATAAATAGGGTAATGATTGAATAAAAGCACCGAAGCCACAAATTCAAGCAGACAGCCTGGGCATAATACGAAGTAAAATGCTAGAGGTACTAATAGACACTAGTAGGTCAATGATTTCTCTGTTAAAATGAAGTTGCGGGTCGGAATATTGTAATATTAGCACAGGGAAACAAAGAAACAGAGCCTTTGACAAGCGAAACGGCGAAATGGGCCTAAAAGTAACTTGGTACTAAGTCCTATTACCGTCGATCAAGCGGTAAAACAGGAAGTTGCTCGCCGACCATCATGGCGTAATTGATGGCAAAATATGCAACAAAATATATAGCGAATGATGCATTTGTGATTATAAATTAAGTAATCACTCCGAAGGATTACAATTAAGTCTCTAACATCTAGCAAATTCTTTCAATAATCTACTTTTCATTTATGCATGGAAGTAACGATCCGTATACAGATCTATCGCATACCAGTAAAACTACGACCACTAATATCAAAAAGCTAATAAGTACATTTTTACTCGTGATGACATTATATCTCCAGTTATGTTTTATAAAAGCTTTTCCGTCAACAAACATTTACTTCGCGACGGTAAAATTTTCAATCAGACTTTGGAAATTATAATAATAATAACAATAATAATAGGTATGTTTCTCTTGACGAGAGACACTGTGTCTATAGCGGCACAGACCAATTTGTACAGGTGAATCCACGCTCTTGCATGGGTGACATGTATAGGTGGAGTATTGGAATATACGTTTTATGTATTACCATTCTGGTGGATGGCTGACGCCAAAGCCTAGTTATGGAAACATTAGTGTTTATATGGTTTTGGGCCCCTCTTGGAATAGCTCATCGAGGGATTTTCCCCATGTGAATATAGAGCTTAGGGTAGTTAGATCAAGGTAATCGGCGAGTCTGCTACTAAATGTTGCCACATTGTCACCCGACCTGAGTGTTACTGGTAGTTTATTCCACAGATCATCATCATCATCATCATCATCACTACACGTTAGCTGGAGGTGGAAAACACCTCAGCTATTGTGCCGCAATACAAAAGGCAAGAAAAGAAAAACAAACAGTGGCACACCCGCTGAGTCCCCAGTAACGGATGGACATCGTTCCGGAGAGCTAATAGCTGGCTGCCGTAAAAGAAAGTCACATTATGCCTAACGATTGAGATCGTGATTGGAGGGGGATGCTAAACAGGAGGGAGATGGACAAAGGAACTCACAACACAAACACCATTGGGGCCGGCTCCTAGCCATATCAGCAAGTGTGTCCAACCAAACGTGTTCACCGTCCTTAGGACCCCAGCCAGGCAGTCGGGATGCACCAACCGACGCCAACTTCGAAGTGAGAGCTTTCATTTCTCTCGGCCAAGTCATCACTTGGCCTCCCCTCCTCCTCTTCCAACCGCACCCACAACGTGCAAACAATGCACGTCGCGGGAGTCGGTGTACTGGCATGCGCAACACGTGGCCCAACCATCGGAGCCTGGTGCGTGATATAATGGTGCTGAGCGGTTCACTCGCTCTTCCTGCACCAAATACGCGACGTCGAACACGCTCATTGCTCACGCGATGTTCCCACCAGACATGAGCTAAGCTGCGAAGGCAGCGATGATCGAATGTGACGAGTCTCTTCATGTCTGTCGACCTGATGGGCCAGGTTTCACAGCCATATAGGAGAGTTGAACGGACGGCTGCGTTGTAAACTCTGCCCTTGAGGGCGAGAATAATGTCGCGTCTGCGCCACAGGTGGCGGAGATTGGCGAAAGCACCTCGAGCTTTTACTATACGGTTCGTAACCTCATCTTCAATCCCACGGGTGCTAATATAGCTGCCCAGGTACTTGAATTCCTGAACGACTTCTAGCAGATCACCACCAAGCGTTAGCGCAGGGTTGGGTCCCTGCCAATCTTGGAGAAGTACTTTGCATTTCGATGGAGCAAAGCATAACCCAAAACGATTGACAGCCATTGCTAATCGGTTCAGTGCTGTTTGGCATGTTTGAGAGCTGTCACAGATTAGGGCAATGTCGTCCGCATACTCCAAGTCAAGAAGTCGCTCACCAGGGAGTAGCTCCACACCTTCTATGTCGTGTCTAGCGAACGCTGTTTCCATGACTTCATCAATAGCGAAGTTGAAGAGGAAAGGTGACAGTGGGCATCCTTGTCTCACACCGCTGGTGATACTGAAGGGTGGCGAGAGTTTGCCATAAACCCTCACCCTGCCCGAACTATGTGCGTACAGCGCTTTGATAATGTTTACATATTTATCAGGCACAGCTTTCCTCAGCAGACAGTCCCAAAGGGCACATCGATCGACTGAGTCGAAGGCACCTTTTATGTCAAGAAACACGGCAACGGTGGGTCGCCAATAAACATGGCGGTGCTCCAACACTTGACGCAATGTGAAGATGTGGTCGATGCATCCCCGACCTCGACGAAATCCGGCTTGCTCTTCACGAATCTGGCTTTCACGAGTGCCAGTCAGTCTGTGGAGAATGAGAGGCAAGCAATTTAGAGGCAATCGAAATCAGACTGATCCCTCTATGATTGCCACATTCTAAACGGGAGCCTCCCTTGAAAATTAGGACAATGACGGAGCGGTTCCAGTCTGTCGGGACTGTTTCCTGCTACCAAAGTTTTATTAGCAACTCGTGTAGATCATCTACTAGAGCAGGTCCACCGAATTTGAAGAGGGCTGGAGGAATTCTATCTGCTTATTCCACAGATAGCTGTATCTGACCAAGAAGAAATTAGTGCGGACTTTCGTTCTAGCCTCCGGTGTATTAGCTGAAAGCGCCGTAGTCCGGCTCTGAGTACGTAAAATTGCCGTCACAAAAATGCAACATGACCCACACTTTCTGAGCTGCAAAACCGATTCTGATAATTTAGCAATTATTAGTCGCGCCGTAAAAACACTTACAATAAATGTCTACTCAAGCTATATATTACTAAGGGTCAAAGCAGAGAAATCGAAAAACTGTCGCTTCCGGGGCAAATCAGTTAAGAATGAGGAAAATACGACGAGAACGCCCGTATCCGCTGCACCGATTACTACTAACTATTAGTTGTTCAATTCAGTGTCGTTAGCTCTGCCAGATGTTGTTCAAGTGGCTACAGTAACCGACTTATTGGTACGAAAAATGAAAAACGCCAAAAACAGAAGGAAGATGGTAATAAGTTTGCCCCCACTGCCTGCACAAAGTCATTAATCGTAACCTTAGAAATAGCTAACAAAACAACACAAATAGCATCAAAAGGGAAAGAAACTCGGTCCTAGCTCCACGGAAACGCACTCTACCGTTCTTTTATTAGTAGCGTAAGGATATTTCACTCTTAATGGCTACGTCGATATAGAATATTCCAAGATTCTTACTGGAATAGATGCGGCGCACAAAGGCGAATATTTTAACATAAGCTTCACTGAGGTATTACCTATGTGCACAGATAAAATCGAGTAAGTGCAGAAACTCAGCCGCAGTTCGTAGATTGTGCGTCGCAATCTGTTCACACAACGAGTGCTTCAAAATGACTTCCGCCATCAATTATTTACTTTTTTTCCTATCCTTATCCACAGTGGAGACGAGGTGGAGTGATCGCAAATCTGGTGTCCGACACGCACGTGTTTGCTTCCCAAGGACTCAACTCAGTTCAGAAAACAACCGTCTCTTCGCATGACCCTTTCCCCGAAGATAACCCCAAAGTATCCAGAAGTCACAACAAGGCCAAAAGAGTTCGACCTCCAAAACGAAAAATACGCATCGTGGAATCTAACTTTGAAACTTCCTTTTTATAACAATTTAGGATTCCAGAGACCGTTGGTGATCAACGCAGCTGCGCGTTTCTGGCTTCATGTGATAAACTCTATTTATCTGTTTTGATCTTTTGAGTACCGTCGATGTTCGTTTTTTTCATTTTATATTTCAGTTTTGATGCACTGATGCTTCCTTTTTCCTTCCTGTCGTTATTATTTTAGGGCAGCAGACATGGTGACCACTAAGGACGATGTTTCGCACCGCTTGTCCATTGTGTTTTCACTAGTGCGTTAGACTTCACCGTGTTTGGTGTGTACCACTGGACCTCACGGTCTGAAGCTATGAATATGGCCTTCGCAAAATCACTGTTGCCACAAACGGACGGTATTGAAAGCCCCTTACATCCATCCGTAGCTAACTAGTGCTCGTTTGAAGTTAATGCGATGTAAGACTTACGATACTTCATTGCGCCGCCCCACAGAATGTCTCATCAGTCTGCTTAAAAATAAGTTGTATGCTATCTCTCACTGAGTCTTTAAAGTGGATAATGTCGCGTCCCCTTGGTCCATGCGGTGGAAATAGCCTCATAAGCAATTATCTTACGCGACTTCCAGTTTTTTCTATCTAAAAGTTCAGCGCTCGGAAATGCGTTTACGAATGTGGTACCAGTCTAACAGTTTTATCTTTGGTCACTACGAAGCGTGCACGACTATTGCTCATTGTGCAACGTTTTAAATACTGTCCCCCTATTTGCATTATGCCGTTCTCAACAATGCTTCTATTTTGGGAGTGCCCTTTTTAATACACCTTCTGGGATGGCGGGCAGGGTTCCTGTCGCGTTGTTCTGAATCCATGGTTTGGAAATGAAGTCCCTTCAGCGTAGTATTTAATTTGGGAAACAAGAAAAAGTCTACTGTGGCCAGGTCCGGTGAATACCGTTCATGGAACACGACGGGAGTTTGACGATTTCCTGGATATCTGCGGACAAGAAGCGATGCGTGAGCCAGGCGTATTGTCATGTAACATCCAAGTCTGGTTTTCCAACAGTTCAGGCCTCTTGTTGCGCGCAACATCTCTCAAATAAGCTAGAATTCCCTGGTAGACTTCTTCGTTTACCATCCGACTATATGGTACAAATTCCATCGCTGCCTTCTGTTAAACCCCGAAAAAACAGCAGACCAGAGCAGCACTGGAACATATGTATGGAGAAAACTGTCTGCACGTACGTGCGGTACAATTAACTCGATAGACATTCGAATTGCAACCAATCAAATGCAAGATCACATGACTGGCCAACGAGTGCTCTATAGAAGTGTGAGTAGGATAAGCGAATCGAGAATAAAAACAAAGCAAATTATTTGAACACGACATTGTCCCCTCCTCTATTCGTAAAAATATAAGTACTACATGTCCATGAACGATCTAATTTAATGTCAGCACCTCGAAGAATTTTCAGTTGGTGTTATCCGTTAAAGCGTATCGGTAGACAGGGCGGCGTATCCGACCGGAACGTCGTAACTTTGTATTAGTTTGTACCGAGCGTTGTGTTGTAGGTGTGTGCGTCTGTTCAATAGCACATTGGAAAAGCGCTGTATGCTGACGTCTTGCATTCATCTTCGTCCCATCAGCCAACTTGTAGGTTTCTAGCGTGCACACAGATTCCACACTGGTCGGGGGTCCGAACACATTACCTCCTTTCCGGGAATAAGTAGTCTCACACGAACAAATGGCCCTGGATGTTACGTTCTACTAACGCGTCTACATTTAGCCTCCTAAACAGCCCATCTTTCGTATTTTCTGTGATCGGCAGATTCTTCGGATGTAAAGGTTGCATTTAACCGAGTTTGAATTGTTCGCCCTAGCATTAGCTCCGAGGGGGTCATTGCCGTTGCAGTATGTGGAGTGGTTCTGTATAACTCAAATGCAGATACCAACGCATCATCCCAGATTTCTCCCGAAAGCCGAAGGATTTGTGGAGATTCTTTCAGAGTACGGTTAAGTCGTTCGACGTATCCATTCGCTGCAGGATTATAAGGTGCAGTCCTCGTATGTCTGATACCATTGCGCCTTAGGAATTCAACATAATCGTTACTTCGCAACTGTGGGCCGTTATCAGTAACTATTTCTTCTGGCAAACCGTATCTTGCAAACAAACAACAGAGCCACTTTATGATGACGGCTGTAGTTACGTCCACGCATAGAATAGCCTCTGGCCCTTTACTGTAGAAACAGGTTGCCACTAGCACATTTCGTTTCTGCTAGGTGTGCATTGGCAAACGGACTCATAATATCGATGGTAATTTTTGCCCATGACTTCATTGGGTATACGATAGGTTGGACTGGATCATTCAGGGACTCGCATTCCTATCGGATTTTTGGCAAGCGTAACATTCCCAAATAACCGCCCCGACGCTGGAATTCAACTTCCGCCAGCAATAGTATTGTCGTATTCGAGCTTTTGTTCGCACAATCCCTCGATGACCTTCATGCGCACATGCAACCACCAGAGGAATAATGGTTGCAGGGACAACACACTGCTCGCCTCTAATAATTCAGTTGCTCACAGTAGAAAGCTCGTGCCGTAGGGTATACTATGGAAGTAACTCAGGTTGCATCTTGGTACGACTAGGCCATGAAGTGGTTATGTACTCCCGAAGCTTCGTTAGGATAGGGTCTATGTCGGTGTGCTATCGGATCAGGCCAAAAGTTATTGTTGGTGTTTCGTCTGAGAGCTGCGATATCATTTCTGCTTCCTCTAAGTCCTCGTTTTCCCCTTCGTTGGACATTGGGAGTCTCGACAGGGCATCTGCAAATTGGTCGAAGCACCCTGGCACGTATTTTATTTCATGATCATAGATCAATAAACGTGAGCACCAGTGACTCAAACGTATCTGCTTTTGGCCTTTGTTACCTCGACTTACTAGCATTGTAAGAGCAGAATGATCGGTGCGCAAAGTGAATTGATGTCCGAATAAGTACAAGTGTCATTTCTCACACGCCCAGATGCATGGGAGGGCCTCCTTCTCTTCAGTGGTATAATTCCTTTCACTATCAGACAAGGTACGCGATGCGTGCGCAATCACTTTCTCCTCAATATCCTGCAGCTGGCACAGAACTGCACCCAAGCCAACATCTGAAGCATCCGTTGAATCAAACGTTGAACAGTGCTCATTGAAGATCGCTACCATGGGAGTGGATTCATTCATCGCTCGTATGGTTGTGTAAGCACTGTCTTGTTCAGTAGCCCAACGAAACTCCTGGTTTTGGCTCGTCAGCCTCGGCAACAGTCGAAAAATTTAATAAAGGTCGAAGGTAATAAGAACACAAACCCAAGAAATGTTTCATCTGTGTAACATTGCATGGTTTTGGACAATCGAGAATGGCTCTGGTGTTCTTCACATTAGGCTTAATACCCGAGATAGAAATAACATGTCCAATAAACTCGATCTCCGTCACAGCGAATTGACATTTGTTGGTATTCAGGTGGAGATTTAGTTCATTCAGTCTATGTAGCAGGTTATGAAGGTTTTCCTGACGTTCAGTGGGGTTATTACCAAAGACACGAATATCATCTATCTACACAACATCCTTTGAGATCTGATAACGATAAAGTAATAAATTTCTGCTAAGTTGCTGGGGCACTACTAAGACCCATTGGTAACATTTTGTGTAGACACAAACCGTCTTGTATGAGGAAAACAGTCAAATGTCGGCAATCTGGAGTCAGTAGCTTTGAGAAAAGTTTGGCGTTTGAAAGCCTAATCATCAACTCGTCGAGAGAAGTCAGAGGGAACTTGTCCATAATTATGTGTCGATTAAGCGCTCGAAGGTCGGTGCATAGACGAATAGAGCCATCTTTCTTGACCGGCAACTAGTGAATGAATCCATTCAGAACACTGTATGGGTTCTAGCAAGTCTTTCGTGACCAAATTGTTCAAAGCTTGCGATAAATCCTCGTTTGGCCTGAGGTACAGGCCTAGGTTTTGAAATGCTGAACGGTTTATAATCCGCGCTCAACCGAATGCGGTGCATCGCTTTTGGAACTCTACCAATATCCGGAAGAAAGAGATTTGAGTAACTGGAACTTAACGAATGAAGGTTGACGTTGGCAATGGTTATCCGGCTGACGCATGGTGATACGTTTAATAAGACCATGGCATTAGGTCCCAGTAGAGGCTTACTATCAGTTTTAGAGACGTAAACTTCAAGTATACACTTCCTGCTGTTTATAAGAAACATTGAAACCGTAACAAAACCGAGTATGTGGACATCACCATTGCAGTAGCTGCTGAAAGTGTAAGCGGAAGGACGTACAGTTAACTGACTAAAATGCTGTTTGTAAAAACAATATGGCACAACCGTGATTGGTGACGCGGGATCTATTTCTATGTAGACAAATGGTTTTGTTTCTAACTTCAAAAACACGACGGATATCTGGCGAAGGCAGTTTGGCTTCTTGCGTTGGAGACGAAAGTGGATGTTCGCATTCATTAAGGCCATATGTGGATTGTTCAGTGGTGACCGGAGAAACTCTAGAGTCATTTGCAGTATCAACTAAAGAAATGGCGCGGGAACGACAAATCCGAGCAAAATGACCGGTCTTACCGCAATTCCTGCAGATTGCACACATTACAGGACATATCATTTGCACGATATTCTACATTTCCACAACGGTAACACTTATTTCTAACTGAGGATCGCGTCAGATAGCGTGTAGAATTCAAACGGTCAATTTCAGTAGCTCCTGTGTTAGAGAGGAAAATGTTGTTTTGTTTCGTGACTGCGACCTTCGCGCGAACCACGTCACAGATCCTGTCCCATGTGAGCTTTCCTGCCTTCTCCATTAACAGACTCTCTGATCCGAGAATCCGTGAGGTCAGAAATCAATTGTTGTATTAGCATGGTTTCTTCTACTTTTTTCTTGGGTATACTATTGTCGTCACACTTTCGAACAGAACAAACAAGGCGGGAAATGAATGTATCCACTGAATCACCAGGTACTTGTTTCAGCAGCGAAGAATTGTACCGAGAAGTACAAGTG